TAGAGTTGGCAGTACAAGCAGCAGTGTGCACAGCCTGCTGCTCAGACGTCGCGTCATGAGCAGGAGCGCCCAGGCGAGGGATAGTGGGGAGCTCACAAGAGACGTGGGCGTCCAAAGACTCGTCATCGACGCGCTGACTCGTGAGCTGAAGGAGAACTGCCTCCTGCCAGGCGGCGAAACCGACTGCCCGCCCCTCCCCATCCAGGCATAGAATGAAGACGCCGGGCAACGCCATGCTGGCAGCTGCGGCCGGAAAGACAGTGGCGGCAGAAGCAGGAACAGCTGGGGCAGCTGCTACAGGAGCCGGCGGCAGCGAGGGCGGCTAACGAGTAGCGAGGTGAGGATGGCAGCAGGCCAGCAGTGAGCTGGCTAGCGGAGATGGCTACGTGGGTACGGGCGAGCTGCGGCAGTGGTGGCAGTAGCGGCTGCAGAGGCAGTGTGGGCTGCAGCGGCAGGGGCAGCTGCAAAGGGCGGCGTGGTAGCTGCAAGGGCAGCAGCGGCAGTAGCAGCTGCAGTGGCGGCTGCAAGGGAAGTGGCGGCCGTGGCAGTGGTAGCAGCGGCAGTGGCAGTGGTAGCAGCGGCAGCTAAAGCGGCTGCAGCGGCAATGGCAACAGTAGCTGCAACAGTGGCCGCGGCGGCGGTGCAAGTGGCTGCAGCCGAAGAGCAAGCTGCAGCAGTGGCAGAGGCAGTGGCTGCAGCGAAGAGGCGCCACTGGCAGTGGCAGCTGGCGGGCAGTGGAGTCAGTCGGCGCTGCTAACTAGTGCGGGTAAGCGGTGGGCGGACACTGGCGAGCTGGCGCTGGCGGCTAGCAGCTGGCGGCTAGTAGCTGGCGAGCTGGCGGCTAGCAGCTGGCGGCTTGGAGCTGGTGAGCTGGCGCTGGCGGCTAGCAGCTGGCGAGCTGGCGCTGGCGGCTAACAGCGGGCGAGGTGGCGCTGGCGGCTAGCAGCTGGCGAGCTAGCGAGCTGGGGCTGGCTAGCCGGCTGGTGCTTGTGAATGCTTGCTAGCGCAGGCAAGCTGGTGTGAAGGCATTTGCCCTATGGTGTTGAGCCACACCCAGCACGAGCAAGGGGGAGTGATAAATGTGTAGTGTTCTGTGGTGTGATTTGCTCTAGCTGGCTGTGGGCTATTGGGATTTGGGCAAAAGAATTGGGTTGGTTGGCTAGGTTTGATCTCGTTACCTTTCCAACCCATACTACCCCATACCCACTACAACACTTTGATGTTGCAGCTGTGGCACTTGGGAGTGTTAGGGTTTGGTTCAGGGCGAGGGTTGGTGTTGTTTGACAATCAAATACTCGAACTTTTCCAGATCGAACTGCTTCCCTTCTCGTTTTTACTAGGTGATTCATGGCTGCCTAGCCAAATTACCAGAATATCCCCTCACACTGATTTCGTCATAATCGGCGACTCAGATCTTGGTTATGAACGTGCTTTACCATTCTGGAAAGTAGAGATTAAGACCTTTCCAACGCGTATAAGCTCATTTCTAGAAGTTACTTGAGCTGCACGCAATGTTCTGTTGAGATCGTCAAACTTAATCTCTAATTAGTTCTCTCCAGATTTGCACGATATCCATCAGTGGTATCAGAGCCACGGTTAGAGGACGTTCTTTCCTCCATTGGAAGAGATCTAGAGAGGCTTGAAGTGCTCCAGATCTAGGGTTTGACATGGCCCAAAAGTTGGATGGCCCTCCTAGGTTTACCGGCTCGGACTTTTCGCTATGGAGGTTCCAGTTCACACTATGGCTAGGTATGAAGGACCTAGAAAGTGTGTTGGATGGATCGGAGAAGCGACCACGAGCTGACTCTGGGGAGGCGTCTACTGGAGCAACCAGCCAAATGGGATCCGGGGCTGGGGGAGCGTCGTTGAGTGGGGTGAAGGAAGGAGGAACTGCTGCAACTCGAACCGGAAGGTCGCAACCAAGTAGCGAGGAGTTGCTCAAAGCTCAAGAAGCATGGGATCGGAAGGATCGCCAGGCTTTTCAGTACCTGTGTTGGGCTTTGGAGGGGCAACTTGAGCTTCTTAAGATGCTGATTGACCTGAAGGGGAAGGAAGGTGCAGCGGCTGCAGCTTGGAAAAGAGTACAAGATAGGCACTTGCAGAAAGGGCTTCTAAGCGTGCTTACTTGGCGGAAGCGGTTTTACACCATGGAGCGGAACTATGGGGAGGGGGAGACCATGGTTCAGTATCTCCAGAGGGTGGATGAGAATGTGCGGGCTTTGGAGGAGCTGGATTACACGGTAGATGAGAAGGAGATCATCTATACTGCGCTCCAAGGGTTGGATCAAGCGGCTAATGAGGCATTACTACAGTACCTTCACCTCGAGCAACAGAAATGGACCAAGGTGTGGATTTGGGAGGTTCTAATTTCTGATGAGGCTCGCAAGGTTGATGCTGGAAGAGGTCTAGAAGGAGGCATGGGTGCAGCAGATAAAGCTTCCTTCAGGAAAGGCTATCAACAGCAAGGAGGTGGGGGGAAGAAGAAAGAGTTGGACAAATGCCTTGTGCCCGGATGCAACAAAAAACACTCTTGGAAGAGTTGCTGGAGTAGGCCTGAGGGATGGAAACCTCACGGCTACTCTGGAGAGGCCCCACCAGTGATCAAACCTGATTGGGTGGAGAAAAGGATGAAGAAGGGGCTCTGGAATAAGAAGGGCAGCAAGGGAGCAACGGCCGCAGCTGCTAAGGATGAGAAGGGGAAGGGCCAAGACGACTCCTCCGATGATGGTTTCTCGTTTCTCATGCTAGGGCAGGATGCAGCTCTCGCTGGTCGTGCATTGGCTGATCCCAACTTCCTGGTTCTAGACTCTGGAGCAACATCTGGGATGCTTCCTCGCCGTGATCTCTTCACCTCCTACCATCCTCTCCCACCAAATTCGAGGAACGTGATTGTTGGGAGCGGAGATTTGCTGCAAGCAATTGGCATCGGCACGATCACCATTAAGGGGAAGGAGGGGGAGCTAGTGGGTGTGAAGGGGGTCCTTCACGTCCCTGGTTTGGCTGCAAACCTCCTTTCATGCTCGCAGCTGGCTAAACAGGGATACATCTGCACTTTCACGGAGGGAGGGTGTACTGTTAGAAAGGGTGAAGCTGTGGTGATGGAGGCAAAGCTGGACAAGGGTTTATACCTTGTTCCAGCTTGTGTGCCTAATTGTTACAAGGCACATATGGTTTTTTCTGAGGAAGCCGCTTGTAGCACTCGCTGGAGGCAGGTGGAAACGGTGTCACCTGAGTTGCTACACCTTCGCATGGGGCACGCGGGGAAGCAGCAACTGCTGGAGTGTGTGAAGAAGGGGGAGCTGAAGGGGGTGGAGGTCAAGGAAGGAGCTGGGCAGCAGAGCAAATGTCCCGACTGCACGTCTAGAAAGCTGCCTAGAACCTCATTCCCTATCTCCTCTGATCATGCCTCGACTCCCCTTGAGCTGGTGCACACGGATGTGTGTGGACCGATGCAAACTCCTGACTGGGAAAAGGGCAGCAGATACTTTGTCACCTTTCTTGATGACTTCAGTCGACTTAGCTGGGTCATCTTGGTGAAGACCAAGGATGAGGTGGCAAAGGTGTTTAGGCGGTGGATACGCTATGTGGAGAGGGAGTCAGGGGCCAAGGTGAAGGTGTTAAGGTCAGATCGGGGTGGAGAGTACCTTGGGAAAGAACTTCAAACCTTCTTGGAAGAAAAGGGTATTACCCACCAGCTCTCTGTACCTTACACGCCGCAGCAAAATGGGGCAGCGGAGCGGCTTAACAGGACCTTGACCGATTTGGCTCGGGCCATCCTTTCCCATGCCGAGCTTGATAACACTTGGTGGGGGGCAGCAGTGCAGTATGCCAACTGGGTGAAGAACAGGATGGGCAGCAAGGGGCTTGGAGGCAAGAGCCCATACTCCTTATGGACAGGGAAGGTGCCGAATGTTTCCATGGCACGAGTGTGGGGGTGCATGGCACAGTATAAGGTACCTGACCAGCAAAGGAGGAAGTTAGATCCTAAGGCACAGTGGGGGATCTTCCTTGGGGTTTCTGAGAGGAGCAAGGCTTGGGTGCTGTGGAGTGTAGCTGACCAGCGTGTGATGGAGAGCCGTGATGTGGTTTTCCATGAGGGGCTGAATTTTAAGGGGTGGAAGGAGCATGGTACAAGCCAAAGTGGGACTTCCATTCAAGACCCTCATACGGCTTCTATCTTTGAGGGGGCATGGGAGGACCCTGGAGATGAAGGGGAGGAGCAGTAGGAGGAGCCAGAACCAGCTGATCCTAACCATGAGGAGTCCCGAGAGACAGATTCTACCCCTCAGCCAGCCACGCAGGCCGATGCGCGTGATGATCAGCCGGAGCAGCATGTGCCTTCAACTCCATCGAGAAGCAGTTGGCAGCAGTTGTTGAACCAGCAGCTGTCCAAGACTCCAAGGACTCCAATGAAGAGGGTGACTTGGGAGGAGAAGCTGCGGAGGCTGGAAGAAGGAGAGGCAACACCTCTGCGACGCAGTGCTCGAATTTCCCAGCCACCTGAAAGGTTTTCACCGGGGCACATTGCACGCATGCATGATCATCTTGTGTCTGATTTGGATTATTGCATGCTTGTGGACATGCATGGGCATGAGTATGCTCTTGATGTGTGTCTAATGGGTCAGGTGCATGAGCCTAGGTCAGTCCATGAGGCGCTGAACCGTCCCGAATGGGTTGAGTCTATGCATGAGGAGCTTGAGTCTCACAAGGTAAATGGATCATTTGAGCTGGTTGATCCAGCCGTGGTACCACCTGGTTTGGAGGTCCTCAGGTGTCAATGGGTTTGGAAATACAAGCATAACCCTGATGGTACCATTGAGAGGCCTAAGTCCAGATTGGTGGTGATGGGAAACACGCAGAAATTGGGAGTACACTATGAAGAAGTGTACTCTCCAGTTGGGAAGCATGCGACCTTGAGAGGTATCCTTGGAATTTCAGCTGCTTTGGGGCTTGATATCCATCATATGGATGTCAAGACAGCCTTCCTCCATGGGGATTTGGAGGAAGAGCTTTACATGCGGCAGCCCCCTGGTTTTGATGATGGGTCTCACCGAGTGTGTCGCCTCAAAAAGTCCATTTATGGGCTAAAGCAAGCCCCACGACAGTGGTACCTAAAATTTGATGAGGCTCTCATGGATTTTGGGTTTGAGAGATCTGAGTGTGACCCTGCCTTGTACCACTTTGTGAGAGATGAGGAGCGGATCTCCTTATTCCTCTATGTGGATGACCTTTTGCTCCTATGCTCTAGCAAGGCTTTGCTAGATCGAGTGAAAGAGTTCTTGTCCTCGCGTTTTCGCATGAAGGACTTGGGGGAGGTGAAGTACTACTTGGGAATGCAAATTGAACGTGATGAGAGTGGTATCTTGATTCATCAAGAGAGGTACATTCTTAACATGCTTCAGTCCTTTGGTCTCTCAGAGGCCAACCCCGTGCGTACTCCTCTCCCAACAGGCTTTGATGTGCATGCCTATGAGGATGAACCCTTGCTGCGAGATGAGCTGGTCAAGCTCTACCAAAGCATTGTGGGATCCCTCATGTATGCTTGTACTACCACACAGCCACAGATTGCCTTTGCAGTCTCACAGCTATCTAAGGTCGCCTCTTGTCCTAAAATGTTTCACTTGCAGGCCGCTAAGAGAGTGCTGAGGTACCTGAAAGGTGGTGTCAAGTCAGGTATCTTCTTCCAAACACAGCCCCAGTCTCAGGTCCAGCTAGTTGGCTTCAGTGATGCTGACTATGCTGGAGATTCCGCAAGTCGCAGAAGCCACAGTGGGTATGTGTTCTGTCTGAATGGGGCAGCTATCTCTTGGCAGAGCAAGAGGCAGCCCGTGGTAGCACTCTCTACCACTGAGAGTAAGTATATAAGTCTGTGTCAGTGCATTCAGGAGGGTGTGTGGCTGAGGCGTTTGTTTGGGGAGTTTGGCCATGATCATGCTGGTGGTGTGCCTGTGTTCGTGGATAATCAGTCTGCCATTGCCCTTGCACAGAATGCATGCTTGCATGGCCGCACCAAACACATGCAGGTCCGGTGGCATTTCATTCGGGAGATGGTAGCTGCGGGTGAGGTGATTTTGCAGTGGTGCCCCACCAACCGTCAGGCTGCTGATATTCTTACCAAGTCTCTTCCATTTGAGCGTCATGGTGTGTGCATGACCTTGCTCGGGATGCAGCCCCATGATGACAGAGTTCCCGCAGCAGATGCCGGCGTCTTGGTGCTCCTCTCCTTGGCGGACTCCATGCTCTGGGTGGCCCCAACCCATGGGCAAGGGGGAGTGGTGTGAAGGCATTTGCCCTATGGTGTTGAGCCACACCCAGCACGAGCAAGGGGGAGTGATAAATGTGTAGTGTTCTGTGGTGTGATTTGCTCTAGCTGGCTGTGGGCTATTGGGATTTGGGCAAAAGAATTGGGTTGGTTGGCTAGGTTTGATCTCGTTACCTTTCCAACCCATACTACCCCATACCCACTACAACACTTTGATATTGCAGCTGTGGCACTTGGGAGTGTTAGGGTTTGGTTCAGGGCGAGGGTTGGTGTTGTTTGACAATCAAATACTCGAACTTTTCCAGATCGAACTGCTTCCCTTCTCGTTTTTACTAGGTGATTCATGGCTGCCTAGCCAAATTACCAGAATATCCCCTCACACTGATTTCGTCATAATCGGCGGCTCAGATCTTGGTTATGAACGTGCTTTACCATTCTGGAAAGTAGAGATTAAGACCTTTCCAACGCGTATAAGCTCATTTCTAGAAGTTACTTGAGCTGCACGCAATGTTCTGTTGAGATCGTCAAACTTAATCTCTAATTAGTTCTCTCCAGATTTGCACGATATCCATCACAAGCTTGCGCTGGCGTGGTGGCGTTGGCGAGCTGGCGTTGGCGGCTAGCAGCTAGCTGCCACGAGCTAGCTGGCACGAGCTGGGGGCTGCCTAGTTGGCGCTGGCGGCAAACTGCTGGCAGGGGCTAGCGAGCTAATGCTGGCGAGCTGGCGCTGGCGAGCTGGTGCTGGCAAGCGAGCTGGCGTGCTGGCTGGCGCTAGCGTCAGGGACGAGCTACGATCGAGCGGGGGGGGGGGGTGGGGGGAATCGGCGACTAATGAAGGCGCCAATGTGGTACGGGCTAGCGGCGACTGGCGCTGATTGACACTAGCTGATGGCGGCTGGCGCTAGCCGACGCGAGCTACGCGACGAGCAGATACAATTATATTTGTTGACACATAGGTGCAGAGCCTGGGGGGTTATGGGTGCACTTACCCGCTACTTAACAAGCCCTTTTAAAGCCCCTGGCTAAAAACACAAAGCAGGGGCTCTCTTGAAACTTGTATATTTTTTGCTCGCAGTAAAAAAATCCTGCTTTTGGCTCTGAACAAAAATGAAACACAACCAAAACATGAAGCAAGAAGGGACGAGGACATTCATTGGCACGCGGCACTGGTAGTTTGTTGGTGACACCCAAAGTGGCCACAATACGAAACCTACATCGTCGCCCAACCTAGCCCAACAACGATGCTGGCAACCAGCCCCTCCCCGGGCGTTTTCAAGAGGACCCCCACTTTGCTTTTGGTGCGGTGTACTCGCTAGTCGTTCTGCTAGAACGTAGCGTTTTAGGTGGCAGAGTAACGCGATAGGAGCTGCGACTAACGCCTCCGGGCGACATTCCATCAAAGAATGCAGGTTATACTCGCGGCACGGCGCCCTCGTCAAACGGTGCGACACAAGGGCCGCGACAAGCTGGAAAAACGCACATCCGCCCGCAAATTGGTAACAGCAGCCCACCGTTTCGTCGTGTTACCCTCCCCTCCCCGATCTCCCATCGCACACTCGTCCCTCCCCCCTCCACCGTCGCGAAACAATACTCTCCCCCGTTTCCCGTCGCGGTACTTCCCAAACTATCGTATCGTCGCGTTACGGGCTCCTCCTTTCACTCTCATCCCACTCTTGTCCCTCCCCTCTCATCCGTCGCGACGCGCCACCCACCCCCATTTTCCGTCGCATTTCTTCCCAACCTATGCTACGATTGCGATACGGCCCCCTCATGAACGCGTTACGCCTCCTTGAACTCATCGCGCTTTCCTCACGCCGTTTTCTACCGTTCCACAACTCTCCCCTCGCTGCCCCCATATCCCGTCGCCCGAGTTACGCTTCCCACCCCTCCCTCCCGTCACGAGGCGCTCCCCCCTCACACCCCACCATTCTTTCTCCCCAGCCCCCCTACTTCCCATACCGTCCTTCCACTTCTTCCTCTCGATGCTCCCCCCACTCCCTCGGATGGGATTGGGGGAGACATAGCAGAAGGATAAGGGGAAGGAAAGGAGTGGGAAAGGGAGAGAGAAGAGGGGCTGGCTCAGAGGGAGGTGGCAGAGAGGGGAGGAGAGATGGAGAGGGACATGGGAGAAAGAGGGAAACACAAAGGAGAGGGAGATGGGAGAGAGGGGAGGACATCCCGAGAGGGAACGGGCGGGGACGGGCAATATTCAGAGGGGGATAAGGCCTAGAGAGAGAAAGGGGAGAGGGGGATAAGGATGGGAAGGAGAAGGGAGGGAGGGATATTGTGGAGTGGGAGAATGGCGAGTGAGGGAAGGGGCAAAGCGGGAGAGGGGAGAGAGGGATAGTGTTGGGAGGGAGAAGGGAGAGAGGGTCATGGTGGTGGGATATCGAAGAGAATGATAGGGATGGGAGGGAGATGGGAGAGTAGGATAGGGAGGATATGGATGGGAGTGAGATGGGAGAGATGGATAGGGGCTCAAGGGAGAAGGCAGAGGGGATATGACCGAGTGGTAGAAAGGAGAGAGGGAGATGGGCTGGGAGGGAGAGGGAGGGAGATAGGGGGATAGGGATGGGAGGGAGAAGGGAGTGAGGGATTGTCGTGAGAGAGGCGGGAGAGAGGGATATGGATGGGAGGAAGACAGGTGAGAAGGAGAAGGCAGAAAGGGATAGGGCTGGGAGGGAGAAGGCAGGGGGGGATAGGGCTGAACAGGAGGGGAGAGAGAGGGGTATGGGGCTGGGAGGGAGAGGGAGAGGAGGAAAGGGGTTGGAGGGAGAAGGGAGAGGGGGGGACAGGGATGGGATGGAGACGGGAAGGAGGGATAGAGACAAGAGGGAGATGGAATAGTGGGGGACATGGCTGGGAGGGAGAAGGCGGCGAGGGATAGGGCTGGGAGGGAGAAGGCGGCGAGGGATAGGGCTGGGAGGGAGAATGGAGAGAATGATAGGGATGGGAGGGAGGCGGGAGAGAGTGAGAAGGCAGAGACGTACGGGGTTGGAAGGGAGAATGCAGCGAGGGATAGGGCTGGGGGAGGGAGGGGGATGGGAAGGAGATGGGGAGGTAGATGGTAGAGTGGGAAGGGGAGGCAGTGGGGAGGTAGATGGCAGAGGGGGATGGGGAGGGGATGGGGAGGGGATGGGGAGGTATATGGCAGAGGGGGATGGGGAAATAGATGGCAGAGGGGGATGGGGAGGGGATGGGGTGGTAGATGGCAGAGGGGGTTGGGGAGGTAGATGTCAGTGGGGGATGGGGAGGGGATGGGGTGGTAGATGGCAGAGGGGGATGGGAAGGGGATGGGGAGGTAGATGGCAGAGGGGGATGGGAAGGGGATGGGGAGGTAGATGGAAGAGGGGGATGGGGAGGGGATGGGGAGGTAGATGGCAGATGGGGATGGGGAGGGATGGGCAAACGCCAAGAGAGGGATGACAGATGTGTGTGAAAGGAGAGATAGGGCATGCGGTCCGGGGCGACACGATGAGGGAGAGAGCTGAGGCGATTGACGCCTGGCTGGAGGCACAAAAGGAATGACCCCGGCTGAACATGGGGACTCCATGCTGGGAGAACAGCATAGGATTGATTGGGGTCTAGGGAACGTCTGGGCTCTCCACACCACGCTGTACTCTGCATGGCTGGGGGCTCAATACTTGATGACCTGGGAATACTTGCATGTAAAGCCATATCCCATAAGCACCAGGTGTATTGCCTCATCGCGAACAGGCGCACAACCAAACGAAAAGGTAGTGGATAGATAGGTGTTGGCACAAACCCCCCTTACGAACGGACGAGAGATAGGCACAGCCTAGACATATTTGTACGAGGGCAACCGTAATCCTGGGATGCAATCGGGTTCATGTCAAAACACGAGGCAGGGGTTCAGAATGCATAGTCCTGGCCCAAGCACAGCTGCCACCAGTCTGGAATCCACTGTCCTCTATGTGCCTGACCCCCACAGCCACCACAAGTCCAGGGGTGGCAGGTGGGCAAGAGGCCTTCTGAGCGCTAGATGAATGTGATTCAGCCTGGTGCCCCCTTGTCCAGCCCCCCTCTTGCCCCTCCTCCATCCATACGGGACGACCGCAAAACCTCCCCCCTCCCATCCCCTTCTTGCGACCCAGTGTGTGAAGCTGTGATGCGGGATAGGCGTGGGGCATAGCCACACCATGCCATCGCAGGAGCGGTGGTCTGAGCACAGCAGCACCAAGTGTTGAGAATTGAGCAGCTGCGGATAAAGGGAGACAACAAGGGGGCAAGAAAATACACAAATAATAAACAGATGAGCAAGGAAAACAGCAGACCGCATGGTCATGGTGGGAAACAGCGTTGCGAAACAAGTGAGCAGTGCTGAGGCGGGAGGACACTGATTGATGACAGGAGACACAGAGAGGAAACCTCCCTTCGAACAACCCCAGCGGGACGAAACTTATGAGCAAAGCAACGGGGTACGGAATCGGCGTCGGCAGGGGGAAGCAAGATGTGAAATGGGAAAGGAAAATGGGAGAGGAGATGGAGATGCGTGGGGGGAGCGAGAGGTGAGACGAGGGAAGGGAAACATGGAGAGAAAACATGGATGCAATGCAAATGCGTGGATTGAGAGATGGGGGAGGAAAGCATAGTGGAAACAGGGAGAGGAAACAGAAATGCGTTGTGGGTGTGAGGGGTGTGAGGTGGGAGATAGGGAAACAGGGGGAGGAACCGAGATGCATGCGGGGATTGAGAGGTGATAGGTGGGAAAGGAAATTGGGGGAGGAAACAGAGATGCATGGTGGGATTGAGAGGTGAGAGGTGGGAAAGGAAGCTAGGGGAGGAAGCAGAGATGCATGGTGGGAATGAGAGGTGAGATATGGGGAAGGAAAGTGGGGGAGGAAACAGAGATGCATGGTGTGAATGAGACGTGAGAGGTAGGAAAGGAAACTGGGGGAGGAAGCAGAGATGCATGGTGGGATTGAGAGGTGAGAGGTGGTGAAGGAACTGGGGGAGGAAGCAGAGATGCATGGTGGGAATGAGAGGTGAGAGGTGTCGAAGGAAACTGGTGGAGGAAACAGAGATGTGTTGCATGAGTATGGGGGAGAGGCGGGTAAGGATACTGGTGGAGGAAACAGATATGCATGGTGGGGGGGAGAGGTGATGGGTGGGAAAGGAAAAAGGGTGCTGAAATTGGGATGCACAGCAACAGTGCATTAGCTCCATTGTGGGCACCTTGGTGGCGTTGACTAGTGTAGGGTGGCGTCATCAACCCGTCGAGGGGCAACGAAAGGCCTTCTCACCGCCCCTCTGTCGTTCTCTGTGGGAAGGGGCACAACACACAGTGGGGTGGGATGGAGAGAAGGAGAAAACAGGTGTTTGGGCTAACAACATGGCTCGACATCTTTGAGCAAATTCCACCATGCCCCCAACCTACCAAGAGGCTTACCCTGCGTCGAGTGGGAGGGGATCGGATTCGCTGGGCTGTAAACACCATTGGCATATCTGCATTGGTTGTCCGCCATGCGCCTAGTATGTCATCCGCCCACCGCCAGTTCATCGGCCCTAGGACGCGATCCCGCCGGCCCCTCTTCACCCTTGT